AATTATGGTATAAATCATGTTAATCTATATCAACTTAATCACATATTGTGTCACTGATAGCTTATAAACTTTGAATTTTTACAGTAAATTAATATAGAAATTACGACAATTTTAACTTTAAAGTGAAATTAGAGCTGGTAAAAATTGTAAGAATTTATCTAATCCCTAATCTTTATTACTACTATTAATAAATAAGTTTGGGGTAAACCAATTCTATAGCTAAAACATAAGAATTGCTATTACATATAACAATTTCATTCAAAACTTTAATGAATTTATCATAATAAGCAGGACTAGTATGCTATAGAACTACCTAAATTAAATATTAGGGTGATTCGGAATAATGATCATTTTTAATTTCGAATTAAATTAGTGACGTATTTGTTTTGAAATGAGTGATTAATAAATTCTATTTTTTTATATAATGATAATATTTTCATCAGAAGAATACATTTATTTCATTTTCTGATTTCGGAATCTCAAACAGAGATGAGAATTTTTAAACTCCTAATTATTTTAGAAATAAATTAATTTTAAATTACCTTATTATAATATTTTAATTAGTGTTCCGCATAAGGATAAGAATTTTCAATGTGCATTAAACATATGATTTTACAAAGGAAACTTAAACTAAAACCCTTGATAATATCCATTATCTTTGTTTAAAATCAAAATTATATGAATAATACAGATAAACAAATATTATTGTCAATGAAATTCATTTAGGTAGAAGTAGGCATTCCAGTATTTACAACACCATCAGTTGATGAAAAAATACCATTAAAAAGGCCAAAATTACCATTCCTATACCCTATTCCAGCTTGATTTTGGCCGAGCAATTGCTGCTGAAATTCAATATTTTTAAAGCATGCTCTACAGGAAGGAGTTCTTATAGCATCATAGACTATCTTATCAGTACCAGTTATCATTTCAGCAAGCACAGTTTGTACAACAACTAGATGACCATTCGAATCAAATCCTTCTGTATATTTTCCAACATTCAATAATATCCATCCAGCTATTGTCATTGGAATGATCACTAGCGCTATTCCGTACAGAATTAATGCCATTATTCCGATTCGAGTTACTGTGATGTTATCAGCAACAGATACTTCACCAAGGTTTTGCTCAACGTTACCTACTGCAACACTTGCTAACATACCACCTATTCCTAGTTTTAATTGGCGCTCAGCCTCTTGTGCAACAAACGTACTACTTCCATTAAAAGAAGCATCTTCAATTGCGATTTTTATTTCATCTGCAATTTCAAAAAGTCCAACGCTCACGGCACGAGTTGTATTAGCATCTAAAGGTTCGTCAAATCTTACATTCCATTTACTTTTAGAGAAATACACTGTACTCGCCATTATTTTAGTGATACAGTATGTAAATATAGCTTGAGAGCCATGTGATTCAGTTACAAACTCTTTATCATAATTCGTTGAAGGATTGCTGGAGAACTGCCCACTTATTAACCATTCTAATTTTCCTAGTTGGCCCGAGCTAGCGGGAATATAAACACTTCCAAGACTAGCATCTTCCCAAAGTGGAATGATAACATATGTACGATTTATTACGTTATTAGGATTAAGTTGTATGCTACCATTCACATTATACAGGCTGCTAGGGCACTTAATACTAGTTTGTGCATTGGAGTCAGCTTTTAAATTGCATAACGTCGAAACAGGGGTACAATTAGCTTGAATCGTATATGATTTAAAGTTACCATTCCATATTGTATCATTCAATCGTGACATGATGACTAATCCCTCATCCATATCGTAACCCATAATGTTTGTGGTTATATTATTCTTAAAATCATTTATGTAACCTGGTAATTTTAATCCACCTCCTGTAGCAGATGCCCAATGAGTACAAGTATTTAATAGATATTCAATTTCTGAACTATTTCCAGTATTTGCACAATTTGGATTTATTTGAATTTCATTATTTAAAATTTTATGCTGACCTTCCTGTAATATAACTTCTGCTGTGACCCAATAATGTAATGCAATGTCCGCAGTTGCTAATATATATGGTACAATTACAACAACAATTAACCAGAACCATACCATATTAAGCCCTTTGGGTCTATACCGAGATGAAGCTATAACTCCTAAAAAACTTCTTTCAATTCCTAATTTGATAAGACTCGATAACTCAAGTCCATTTAACTGGATACTATTACTTTTATAATGTCTTAAACTGGATTCTACCACATAAGCTACGGTTAAAGTGATTATAGATGCAATAATATATCTAATGGTAGTGTTTATGCCTAGCAGAATACCAGGTTGACTAGGAATTAAAATCCCTCCATCATAAATTATTGCTCCACGTAAAGAGAATACAACTAATGATAACCATAAAAGTGGTACAATAAATAACAGCGCTATACTCAGATATTTTTTTAATAAGGTCAATGACGAATTATATTTGTATGAATTTACTGCTTTAGTTCGCATATTTATTTAATTATCTTGGTATTTTTGATGTTAAAAAAATTTTAATTTTTTGACTATGAAATAAACAGAAAAAAAAACGAGATTTTTATATCCAGTCAAATCTCATTAAATGCTACTTACGTTAAACGTGATTTATACAGGCTAATAATAATATGCATTAAGAAAACATTATAAAAGCTACATTTATGGTCATGCATTTAGAAAGGTTCTATTGTAATACATTAAAGATGCAAGTCGGCTAATTGATTAATCAAATCTATAATGTCGCTGCAGCATTTACTAATTTTAATAATAAATAGAATATGTTAATTATTCAATTGGTATTGGTTAAGTATTTATTAAATACCGATTATTCAGATTTATTATAATTTTTCCTAATTAAAATCTTGCGTGCTTCGTGTAACCAACGGAAGTATTGTTAGACAACCAAATCACGAGATCACGAGACCTCAATGATTGTTAACCTAGTTTCGTCTAATAACTGAAATGCTATTGGTTTTATTTGTTCTTAAAGATATAGTATATATTTATTCTATCATATTTATTAGTTCTATTACATGTATTAGATATAATATACTTTGTATATTTATCCGTTAGAATAGATATTGTATAGCTGTAGATATTATAGTCTCTGGCCGCAGTAATTAACATACAGAAATAGCCCTATTACCCCGAATAGATAGTTTCTCGCAATACAATCTAATAAAGAGTAAACACATATTATTCGTAAAAGCAAATCACATAAATCCTCTATAACGTGTAACTGTGCTAAAACTATATATTTTATTTTAGAACTGCACGGTGTTTGTCATCAATTCGCAAACAATATATCCGTCGTTAAATTAAATTCATTGCATCGAACTTGTAAGAGGTAGATTGAATGTAGCAGTATATAGTTGTTAGACGAAACTCGGAGGTTTTGCGCTGATGAAACGCAAACCTAGTTTCGTCCTTTGTCAAATAAAACATTAAATGACGAAATGAATCTGCAAGATGATAAATCAAATTTACAAAGAAATGATCATGCAACCATCATGTAAAGTAATTCAAGGGCAGCTATGTTGATATGATTTTACTTAATTGAATGCTAAGACTCAAAGTGTTTATTTAAGTCCAAAAGACTCGTCCGTTTCGAGATATCATATTTAAACCAAATTCATTGGAAACAACTTAGCTGATCTCGGATTACAAAAAAATTCCGGATGATGTATACTTATCGAGAGGTAGATAGATATCAGTAACATAACAGCAAAAATATTGGATATCCCGATACGGTTGAACCTCTCGTCAAATATGATAACCTATCAAATCTGGTAAAATATTTGTCTGTTTCTGCTACGTATATGAATCTAATATTTTATAATGATTTCAAATCCGATAACCTTTCAATACTGATACAAAACCTGACCACCATGCATACTGATTTTGGGGGTTTAATTGTATCGGAGTTATATCAATTATATTGTATAAGGCGAGACCAACTGGATCTTGTGTTTTACATTACCCCCCTCTCCCCTCCTGAAGAGGGGGGGGGGGGGATTTGTAGTTTACATAGTAAAATTTTAAAAAATTTTTTTTCAAAAACTTTTTTCCGAATTGATTCGTGACTGTATAAAAATTTTCCGAAATATCCCGTAGCCTATGTATATTTATCTAATTTTTTTTACTATGAGGGAGAGGTGGGACCCCCGAGGAGGGGGGTGGGGTAATGCAAAACACATAATCCAGTTGGTCTCGCCTAAACAACATAAGTCATAATATTCAATACGACAAAATCACAGGTCTGCCTTACTTTACCAACAATCATTTTATGCTTAACGACAATTTATTAAAAAGATATACTGAAATTAATAAAACGTATAAAACGTTAATCCTAGCTCTATATGACGTCAGTTAAGTGAACTCTTGGCGAAATGATTGCCAGTAAAGTGAGCAGCACCACAAAATCACATACTATAGCCACTAGAACAATGAGTAAATTCTGCACCAAAATTTTTTACAGTAATTCACAATATAAATTATTATAATTTAATGCAAACTAATTAAGATTTCTCCACATATGTATTATATGTCAAATAAGGTTGTAACAATTTTTTATAGGAACATACAATAGCAATCACAATAATTCCAGTTTTGGTGTAGCGAATAAGTTTTGTAACAAACTTTTTATAGCAAATTTTACAATAACTCATGATAAAGAATTTTTGCGATAATTCTAGAACAAACAGTGTGGTAGACTAGACCTATATATAATGCGAGTAAGTTTGTAACAGAATTTTTATAGTAACTCACTATAGAAATCACAATAATTATAATGCAAAACTAATTCAACCGCATACTATGATCACTGAAATAACAAGTGCTTTAACAGAATTTTTATAACCGCAACCTTAAACACATATTGCGATCAGTGTAGGAATTTGATTTGAGATTTATGTTCTCGTGAGAACAAATTTATTTATGTTCTTAACAATAATATTTATTTATATACTATTTATATACTATTTCGGAAAATATCGGACATTTATTCAAATTTCTGACCCAGCCTTTCTCATCTTTTATGTTCATTCATTTTATTTTTGGAACTTCGCTCGATTTCTGATTTTATTTCAATCTGGCATTATGCTCTTATACTTATATTAAGAACATATTTTTTGAGCGTTATGTTCTCAAATTTTTTTTTCATGCAGAATATAAAATGGTCTCAAATCTAAAGGTATGTTCTCGTGAGAACATGATAACATAAGATTTCCAACATTGATCAAGCTCAGTAACGGAATTTTTACAGTGATTTATGGTAGAAATTACGATAGTTGCAACGAAACTAACTTAGCCTTAACCATATACTTTGCGTACTGCAAAAATTAATAGGTTCTGTAATAGAATTTTTTTGCAATAACTTATATAATTAAAGTACTAAATTAGATGGGTGACGGAATGCGCCGCATATCGCATTGGTAATAAAAATAAATTAAAACTATCAATAAAGTAAAACTAATTCCAACCGATTATTTTTAGATAAAAATTTAAAAATTTGCCTATAGAATTCTTAATATTAAGTTAATAAATTGTACATTGTAATAGTCTATATCAAACCAAAATTAAACACTTAAAATTTTCTAAAAGATAAATTTTGTCGGATTTAAAAAATACATGTCATCATTGGTTTTTTCGTTTTATAAATTTAAAACAAAATTATATGAAAAATATAGATAAAATAGTAGTAATATCATTCATTAGAAGTAAGAGTTCCGGCATTTACAACGCCCTCGGCTGATGAAACAATACCATTAAAAAGACCAAAATGACCATCTCTATGTCCTATACCAGCTTGATTTTGACTGAGCAATTGGTGCTGAAATTCAATGCTATTAAAACACGCTCTACAGGAAGGGGCTCTTATAGCGTCATAGACTATTCTATCTGTGCCAGTTATCATTTCAGCAAGCACAGTTTGTACAACAACTGGATGGCCATTCGAATCAATTTCTTCTTTGTATTTACCACTATTCAATAATATCCATCCGGCTATTATAACAGGAATGATAACTAATGCTATTCCGTACAGAATTAATGCCATTATTCCGATTCGTGTTAATGTGATATTATCAGCAACAGATACTTCTCCAAGGCCTTGCTCAATGTTACCTACTGCAACACTTGCTAACATGCCACCAATTCCCAGTTTTAATTGGCGCTCAGCCTCTTGTGCAAAGAACATGCTACTCCCATTAAAAGAAGCAGCTTTAAGTGCAATCAATAATTCTTTGTTCATTTCAAAAATTCCATAGCTTACAGCACGAGTTGTATTAGCATCTAAAGGTTCATCTAATCTTACACTCCAATAACTTTTAGAGAAATCTATTGTACTTGCCACTATATTCGTGATACAGTATGTAATTATAACTTTTGGACCATGTAATGTAGTTACAAACTCTTTATCATATTTTGTTGAAGGATTACCGACGTATTGCCCGCTTATTAACCATTCCAATTTTCCTAATTGGCCTGAACTAGTGGGAATTGAAACATTATAAAGACTAGCACCTTTTCCAAGTGGAATGATAATATTTGATGTATTTAATACGTTACCATTCACATTGTACAGGCTGCTAGGACACTTAATACTTGCTTGTGCACCGAAATCAGATGTTAAATTACATAATGTCGAAACAGGGGTACAATTAGCTTGAATTGTATATGATTTAATATTCCCATTCCATATCGTATCATTTAATCGTGGCATGATGACTAATCCCTCATTCATATAGTAGCCCATAATGTTTGTGGTTAAATTTTTCTTAAATTTACTTACATAATTTGGATATCTTAATCCACTTCCAGTAACATCTTCCCAATGAGCACAAGTATTTAATTCACTAAATGAATTATTTTCAGTATTTGCACATTTTGGATCTATTTGAATCGCATTATTTAAAATTTTATGTTGACCTTCCTGTAATACAACTTCTGCTGTGACCCAATAATGTAATGCAATGTCCGCAATTGCTAGTAAATATGGTACAATTACAACAATAGCTAACCATATCCATATCATACTAAGTCCCTTTGGTCTATATCGAAACGAAGCTATAATTCCTAAAAAACTTCTTTCAATTCCTAATTTGATAAGGTTTGATAACTCGAGTCCATTTAACTGAATGCTATCACTTTTATAATGCCTTAGACTAGCCTCTACCACATCAACTACTGTTAAAGAGATTACAGATGCAATAATGTATCTAATAGTGGTGTTTATACCTAGCAAAATACCTGGTTGACCAGGTATTAAAATTCCTCCATCATCGATTGTTGCGCCACGTAAAGAGAATATAACTAATGTTAACCATAACAGTGGTGCAATAAATAGTAGCGCTACATTCAAATATTTTCTTAATAAAGTCAATAAGGATTTGTGATTATACGAATCAACAGTTTTAGTTCGCATGGTTTTTTGATGATTTTGATATTTCAACGCTAAAATATTTGTGATTTTTTATCTATAAAGAAAAGAAAAAAAAATAACGAGGTTTTTATATCCAGTCAAACCTCATTAAATGCTACTTACGTTAAACGTGATTTATACATACTAACGCCTATATGCATTAAGAAACCATTATAAAAATTACATTTATGAAGATGAGATGCATTTAGGAAGGTTCTATTGTAATACATTAGAGACGCAATTCGGCTAACTGATCCATCTATTATGCTGCTGTCGCCATTGTCTGGATTGCCTATTGGCAGTATTATTTGGTTTATTTCATTATTTTACCGATTTTACCAATCTTTAACAGTAATCGAATTAGTAATTAAATATTGGTTAATATTTATTAAATACCGATACTGTATTCGGATTTATTGTGATTTTTCCTAATTAAAATCTTGTGTAATGAAGCTGTGCTCGGTATCGAGTCACGTGAAGTTGTATCCAGTGTTAAAGATTTAATGTTCCTAATGTTCCCGAGACATTTAATAAAATAAAGGAACACAAGATTAAAATTTATGTTCCTTTTTAGGAACATAAACGTTATAATTAGGTTACTATAGAGAGTGTGTGTGTGTTTGTGTGTGGTAGAAAGAAAAGGAATATATTTATTATTTTTATTATAGGAACGTTAAAATTTTTTGGGAACATAAATTTAATAACTTACGTTCCCGAAGAACAAAAAAAAAAATTCAAATCTTTTTCAATGGTAGTAACTGACCTGTTTAAATGATAATAACAAATAAATAGCTGCGCATTGCAGTTACGCGAAACTAGGAACGGAGGGATATGTGATTTAAACCATGCATCGAAGTTGAATTGTGTCTGACCTGGAGACACGAGCATAATGTCATAACTAAAAAAAAAAATTATGTATAAGATTTAAAAAGCCAGCTTTGAAATCGAGTCGTGTCAGATTTAAACGCAAGGTATAATGCTATAAACTTGCCGTAATTATAGGGGGCTTCTTAGCGCTCGTTACCAATTGGGCCTAACCAATCATCTAGTGCTTAGAGATTTCTTTCTTTCTTTCTTTTTTTTTTTTACTGTCATGAGCTCAAAAGCCCTCTAAATGCATGCTTGTTTAAATTTTTACGTATGGACCCGTCGTAATGCATATAGAGAAGTGCGAATGTATTAGTAAAGTAAACAGTTATACGATAGGCCTTGTTTGATTTTCAAATTAGTCAGATAATACATTAAGTGATTAAAAACATGTTAAATATGTTTAAAGAAATGTCATAAGTTTACTTAATAAAAAATATCAAGGCTACATTTAATTTGGTTTTGTTTTAGACCTCTTATATAACAAAAACCCAAAATACCAATTATTATTACCCACAGAAATATCAATTGCGATGGGCAAATTATTATTTGAAGATGAAGTAAAGATCGAAGTCATTGATGTTGCTAAAATAGGTATCGACGTAGTGTAACGGTTGTTTTGGGTTTATATAAGCGAAAGGAAGAAGTAAATCTATCTAAAAATAATCAAACCGCACAATAAAATAAACTTAAAATGATAATAACTAAAAATGCATGCACCGGAGGGTGATGAATTAAAATAATTCGGGAATGGAATCCGGAAGTAAATGATTGATAATGATGTAGAATAATAATTTAAAGCGATTTAAAACTTAAATATATCAATCTTAAGAACCAGAATTAATATAATCGGGATCGAGGGATGATATCAACGGAACTTAATATCTAAGGCGATATTATGATGCAAAGTTGATTTATGGATGCCTTAAAAGATAACTTATATTTTATTTCAGCTATTTATAAAATCAGCTGATGCTGGTGATGCCAAAGGAGGCGGGGCGGTTTACTTTTCTCGTTTCAATTAATTCTTTTCTTTAGGCAAAAACACTTTCTGTCAAAATCACGTGACCAAGTCGCAAGATGTAAAGAGGCCGTTATACAATAATTTCGAGTCTTGACAAGTGTATTCGAGGTTACAAGTCAATTCAGTCCGTCGAATTGAGTTGCGAATAATTTTATCAAAGTTATAGTCGAAATTTCAAAGATAGGTATTTACTATATTACTTAATGTCATTAAAAGTGAACGTGGAACTTGTCCAGCTTTATTAAAACGAATGAGCTTATATACATTTTAAATTTTCAGAGCGTTTACGCTCTTTTCCAAGCGATTTCACTTTAATTTGAACGTATACATCTTTTTCAGAACATATTCGCTTTTCTCTAAGCGTTCACGCTCTTGGCGCAGGATCTACAAATACCAGGAACGGAGTGATATTGAAAATTTCACGTAGTGTATGTTCATATGTAAAATCTTGCATATGATTGGATAATGAATGAGGAAAAGCATGGGTGTGAATACATATCAAAAAGATCGCATGTTACATTTTCACATCTATGTAACGCTTACCTCCGTATTTGTGTGTTACATCCTAACTTTAAATGTATATAATCTGAATTTATGATTTTATTTTCTCACAGGATCCTCGCTTGATAATGAGCTATGTTATCATTATGATTAGTTGGAGATTAAAAAACTTTTTTTTTCTTGGCGGAATAATATGCTGTATGTTTGCATGATTTAATCTAGACCAGTGTTGGAAATCATATGTTCTCATGTTCTCATGAGAACATCCTTTTAGATTTGAGAACATTTAATATTGTATATATGTTCTCTATAAAAAAAAATTTGAAAACATGATGCTGAAAAAGCATGTTCTCTAAGTATAACAGCAAAATTCCAGATGAAAATAGAAATTCTGAATTTATCCAAAAGGAAAATGAATGAACATAAAAGATGAGAAGGGTTGGGATAAAAATTAGAACAAATGTCCAATAATTTCCAAAAATAGGGATACCAATAATTTTAGTGATTAAATGTTGAGAATATAAATAAAATTTTGAGAACACTAAATCAAATAAATATGTTCTTATAAGAACATAAATTTCAAAACAGATTTCCAACACTGATCTAGACCTATCATGCATTGATAAATACTTTATATTATGGTGGAGTAAATATATTAGTTATAATACCATAAGGCGTTCTTGATATTAGACAGAGCAACTTTGCATCATTTGTGATTGTCTTAAAAGATTATCTTAATTGATGATTCTAACTCATTAAAATAATATTCTCTTTATTCTGATTAGAAGAAAGCATTGTAGATCTTAATTGCATTCATTTATAGAATAAGATTCTGCTTCTGAAGATCTAATTTCTATTTTGGTATTATCGATTTCTGAAATACCTGTTGTTATTTATACACCGGGTGAGGTATCAGTCATGTAAAATCAATGTTTTCTCTGAATAGTAATATGAACTTTCTCATCCTAACATTAACCATAAAGAGACGTTGGATTGAATTTATAATACAAACTTTCTTAACACTAATTGTAATTTCTCATCCTAACATTAAACAATCGAGTTCCAATCTTCAAGTACATAACCGGATAATTATCAGATTTAGATCTGAGTTTATTCGGTTATCCATTTACTATTTATTTTTGGATAATTATCTGAATACCTTTCAGATTATCCAGATGACTATCTGATATCTTTCAGGTTATTCAGATAATTATCCAGATCTAGGTGGGCAGCCCCCTACCCTTGATCTATAGTATAGGTGGGCAAACTCCGAAGTATGTGATAACAATAAATAATGTGATATTAACAAATTAACTGATAATCAAATTTTTTAACTCAAATTTTTTAACTAAAATTTTTAACTCAAACTTTTTAACTCAAACTACATACACGTACGTACGTAGTATATATATATATTTTATGCTTCCCATTTCTTATCGCCTTTAAATCAAGCGGTTATTAATTTCAGAGAAATAAATATTTATACCTTTTTTTTTAAATAAAATCTTTTCTAATGGGAAACATAATCTTGGATTTGGTATAAAATGGCATAAGCGTACTAAGTTGAAAAAGGCATTTAATAGTATTTGAACTTTGCAAATTTATGCTCATTTAAATTTGGCTCATCGAATTTCGAATAGGCATTTTTTTGTTTCATACTTTTTGTTTGATTTGAAGTTGGCACTGTTAATTTCGGGTAAGCCATATTTAATGAATCAGCCTTTTTTTTTTGAATAAGTTGTTCAACTTTCCACTTGGTTCGAATTAGACATCATGAGCTTCAGGTAAGGCATATTTAATGAATCGGCTTCTTTTTTTTCAATAAGTTGTTCAACTTTCCACTTGGTTCGAATTAGGTGTTATTAGCTTCGGGTAAGGTGTATTTAATGAATCGGCTTCTTTTTTTTCAATAAGTTGATCAATATTTCACTTGGTTCAAGTTAGGCATCATTAGCTTTGGGTAAGGCATATTTAATAAATTGGCTTCTTTTTTTTCAATAAGTTGATCAACTTTCTACTTGGTTCAATTAGGCATCATTAGTTTCGGTAAGGCATATTTAATGAATCAGCCTTTTTTTTCAATAAGTTGTTCAACTTTCCACTTGGTTCAATTAGGCGTCATTAGCTTCAGTAAGGTGTATTTAATGAATCAGCTTCTTTTTTTTTGAATAAGTTGATCAACTTTCCACTTGGTTCGAATTAGGCATCATTAGCTTCGGGTAAGGCGTATTTAATGAATCGGCTTCTTTTTTTTCAATAAGTTGTTCAACTTTCCACTTGGTTCAATTAGGCGTCATTAGTTTCAGTAAGGCATATTTAATAAATCGGCCTTTTTTTTCAATAAGTTGTTCAACTTTCCACTTGGTTCAATTAGGCGTCATTAGTTTTGGTAAGGCATATTTAATGAATTGGCTTTTTTTTTTTTGAATAAGTTGTTCAACTTTCCACTTGGTTCGAATTAGGCATCATTAGCTTCAGGTAAGGTGTATTTAATGAATTGGCTTCTTTTTTTTTCAATAAGTTGTTCAACTTTCCACTTGGTTCAAATTAGGTATCATTAGCTTCAGATAAGGCGTATTTGATGAATTGGCCTTTTTTTTTCAATAAGTTGATCAACTTTCCACTTTGTTCAATTAGGTGTTATTAGTTTCGGTAAGGCGTATTTAATGGATCAGCCTTTTTTTTTGAATAAGTTGTTCAACTTTCTACTTGGTTCGAATTAGGCGTTATTAGCTTCGGGTAAGGTGTATTTAATGAATTGGCTTCTTTTTTTTCAATAAGTTGTTTAACTTTCCACTTGGTTCAATTAGGTGTCATTACTTTCGGTAAGGCATATTTAATGAATTGGCTTTTTTTTTTAATAAGTTGTTCAACTTTTCACTTGGTTCAATTAGGTGTCATTAGTTTCGGTAAGGCATATTTAATTAATCGGCCTTTTTTTTTTGAATAAGTTGTTCAACTTTCCACTTGGTTTGAATTAGGCGCCATTAGCTTCGGGTAAGGCATATTTAATGAATCGGCTTCTTTTTTTTCAATAAGTTGTTCAACTTTCCACTTGGTTCGAATTAGGCATCATTAGCTTTGGGTAAGGCGTATTTAATTGATCAGCTTCTTTTTTTTTCAATAAGTTGTTCAACTTTCTACTTGGTTCTAATTAGGCATTATTAGCTTCGGGTAAAGCGTATTTAATAAATCGGCTTCTTTTTTTTTCAATAAGTTGTTCAACTTTCCACTTGGTTCAAATTAGATGCCATTAACTTCAGGTAGGGCGTATTTAATAAATCAGCTTTTTTTTTTCTAATAAGTTAATTAACTTTCCACTTGGTTCGAATTAGGTGTCATTAGCTTTGGGTAAGGTGTATTTAATGAATCAGCTTCTTTTTTTTTAATAAATTGTTCAACTTTCCACTTGGTTCAAATTAGGTGCCATTAACTTTGGGTAGGGCGTATTTAATGAATCAGCTTCTTTTTTTTTCAATAAGTTGTTCACACTTTCCACTTGGTTCAAATTACACGTTATTAGTTTCAGTAAGGCTTATTTTATGAATTGGCTTTTTTTTTGAATAAGTTGTTCAACTTTCCACTTGGTTCGAATTATGTATCATTAGCTTTGGTGTAAGGCCTATTTAATGAATCAGCCTTTTTTTCAATAAGTTGTTCAACTTTCTACTTGGTTCAAATTACGTGTCATTAGCTTTGGTGTAAGGCTTATTTAATGAATTAGCCTTTTTTTCAATAAGTTGTTCAAGTTTCCACTTGGTTCAATTAGGCGTCATTAGCTTCGGTAAAGCATATTTAATGAATTAGCCTTTTTTTTCAATAAGTCATTCAACTTTCCACTTGGTTCGAATTACGCATTATTAGTTTCAGTAAAGCTTATTTTATAAATTGGCTTTTTTTGACTTGGTCAAATTAGAGGCATTATTAGCTTTGAATAAAGCATCAATATATGAGATATAAATTATTTAGCATTTATTAGATTAATTATTAAACTATGGCACGAATTTAAATATATATTGTTATTTTTTTATTATTAATTTATATATATAGTTTATTAGATTATAATACAATAATTAATTATATTAGAGTATGTATTAGAGTATATATAATAATATAAAAATTTATAGTAATACAAAATATTATTATATTAAATAAATTAATTTACAATCTCCTCTTCCTCAAAATAACCTGTAGTTCTCAAAGCATCAAGAAAACTTTCCTATAAATTATTTACATGTTTTTTTCTCCATATAAATTCGAATAGATAGTCTTTGATAGTATCCTTATTCCTATTTCAAGGTGGAATTCGTAATTTGATTCCGTTTCAGAGATCTTTGATGGTGTTGGTATGAGTTCCAGTGATAGGGTCTGCAAACTTTTTGGAATGATTAACGGTAAGGTGCGACAAATCCATTTCATCTAGCCTCTGGTATCCTTTCCACAAATCCGTATGCACAATCGACCCGGGTAATACATGTTTCAATATAATTTCAAGTAAGGTTTTTGCTGACCTATTTGGCACAACTACTACAAACTACTTTTTTTCCTCTGTTTTTTCTATACCATCTATAACCCAAACCCCTTCAATCCTATGCCCCCTGTGATATTTTCTTTTACCAAATTTTGATTCATTAATCTCAACAATTATATTTTCTCCGCCTATAATGGTCATTTCTTCTTCTAATGTATTTATCACTAATTCTCTAAAATACTTCATATAATTGGTTATAGTATTGGGTAAATGTTTAGTCATAAGGATGATAGACGTGTAGATACATTTGCAAAGCCAGAGATAGCCAATTAATAGAGCATCTAAACATGTAATACGATTTTTAGCAAAGAAGGAATCTTTAAAAATTGAAACAGATATACAGCAATCCCATATTCCACATCTAAAAAGTAAGGCCTCATGGTTCATATTGCCTAGTTTGCAAAGCGAACATTTTATAGGTTTATACAAAATATCCTGGTTAAATAAAAAATCAATGCAGGTTTTTTCATCAAATAAGATAGGTTGAAAAGATTTTAATGAAAGAACAGAAGTTATAGCAGATGAAAACATTTTGGAAATTTTTTTATATTTTTTGAATAAAAATTTACCAAATTTATAAAAATAATTTCAATGCGCAAAACACCTTAAGCATAAATTTATGCTATCTATTGATAAAGATATATTTTTATTTACATAAATCATAAATGCAAAACAAACAATCAAATGATTAATCAACAAATTTTGATCAATCAACCCAATAATTTATACTACAAGTGTCTATCATTACAGCATAATATTTTTGTGTACATAAATCAATCAAGAAATAAAAAAAAAATCAATGAGATGCTTGAAGAATGACTGTTAGGTCGTTACTTTCCAAAAGTCTCTATGTGTCTATAACACCAAATAAATGCTCTAGTTTAAATAAAAATTTGATCCAAGTGGAAAGTTGAACAACTTATTAAAAAAAAAGGCTAATTCATTAAATAAGCTTTACCCGAAGCTCATGACGCATAATTCGAACCAAGTGAAAATTTGAACAACTTATTGGAAAAAAAAAAGCTGATTCATTAAATGCGTCTTACACCAAAGCTAATGATGCATAATTCGAACCAAGTGGAAAGTTGAACAACTTAGTGAAAAAAAAAGGCTGATTCATTAAATACGCATTACCCGAAGCTAATAATGCCTAATTCAAACCAAGTGGAAAGTTGAACAACTTCATATTAGTTAATTTTATCAACTTAGTTTAGCTAGCTGATTTTCCTTAATTTAGTCAATTTGATATTACTACTTTTAGTACATAGTACTAAGCAAAAAAATAGGCTATATTTTATTAAAAAGTCTAATTTAACCAAAATATTATTAAAAAAAGCTTACAAAAAATTTAAATTTCTTTTAAAATAAGTATATAATTATTAGTATTAAAAATATTTTTCTGTCTGTCTTTTTAAATATATTATTGTTTAAAAGTTCATTGTTTTATTTAAAAAACTTTATGCTACAATTTATTTTAAAAATTTTTATATTTTTGTCTAAGTTAAAATATTACAACAAATTATAGTAATTTCAATTTTATATAAAATTATTTTCTTTATTATCTTAAGTTTTTGTATAATTAGATAAATTTTTTAAATTTGGTTTTAAAAAAAATACTTGATAATTAAATTTAAAATTCTATTCAGAATATATAGTTTTTTAATAAATTTATAATTTACTTTAATATTAATAACTTTTTTATATCTTTATAATTTTTTTTTGTAAGTTTGGTAGTTTAATTAATATTTTGCATACAGTTTACAGTAAAGGTTTAATATATCTACTATTAAATCCTGATATAAAATCTAATATATTGTAGTAGGCCAAGCTATTATTGCAAAAAATTTTTAAGCTTTGTAAACTCAATTTGATATATTTCAAAAATTTTTTAAACTTAATTACTCATTATTATCAGATTTTTAATTTTTAATTTTTTTTTTTTTTGGCAATCCTGCCTTTATTGTATAAAGAATGCATAATAATATATAAGTTCCTAGCTATTGCCAACAATCCTTCCTTCTCTTCAATAAAGACTCACCCAGCTGCTCAGAGATGCCCAGATGCGATCTGCCGCAGCAATAATTTACTCCTTCCTGGTATCTAACTCACTAGACAACTCTTCGAAAAAATCACTAAAAGCTTATTGCTAGCTTTGTCAAGATTGCCTTTTTCTTAACATTTTTCCTTCTTCAAAGGGGCATAGGAAATGAGGGAAATAAAAAAAAACAAAAAGAAACCAAATACGACGAAAAAGGGAAAAAGAAAAAACAAAAAAAAGTAATAAAAAAAAACAAATACAAATATGAAGAGGAATATAAAAAGAAAATGCAAAAAAAGAAAACAAAAAAGACAGCACTATTATAAACTGTGCCAGGTTAAAGTAAAAATTATATAACAACTACAATGATTGTATATCTCTATATAAAGCAAGCTTTATC